ATAATTTTGACATAATTTCCCGAAATAGCAGGGTAGCTTTGTATCAGTTGACGTGCACAACTTCACGGAAGGGTAGCTTGAATTAAGTATGCAATCGTGTAGTCACAGATTCTCTTTTGTAACTGTAATATTGTGCAGGAGAAGATAGTACAACTCATTGTCATCTGTCTCCAATGCTTCCTCCTTTTGTTGTAACGTTTACCGTTTGGAGATCCACCTCGGCTGCGCTCAACTGGCTTTCCAGATCTGGTCTGGTAAAATTCTGCGTTTCTTTTTCAGGGTATCCATATATAACAATTAAAAACTACAAAAAATCGATATACTACCCGCGTGTAAGCTCAATAGCAATCCCACAGTTAGTTCGCAAAATACCATAAAATTGTCCTATCACGGTCGCCAAAAATATTGTGGCCACATCTTGAACCCAGTCACTAAGTCCAATTGATGGTCGCGAAATCAAACTTGAAGGTCAACAGCTCTTTTATTATTGTACTACTGAAGTAATCTGCTTCATAACCCTAAAAAACAAACTCTCCAGAGACTGCTATCAATTAAAATTAATAGTCTCTTAACTTACCTTACCTATGGTTATGTGCTTTCGAATTCTGCTTTGGCCAATGCTACTTCGGAATTCAAAATCGAAAAAGCGCTAGCTTTTGTTTCTTCGTTACCGCATTTGTGACGTGGTTTCAGCAATCCCGGTTCGGAAAGCGGGCACCTGCGTTTAAAGGTGTCTGAAATTCGGGCTCCTCTATTCCGGCACGTCCACTCCGAATCTCAATTGAAATGGAGGAACTTGCTATCGTAAAAAAATCTAGCAGAATAAGTCACTGTAATTCCAGATCGGCGTATAACAATTACTGAATTGTATTTTTTTACGTTTATTTAAAAATGGAAACAATGTAGTAAACAATTTTACAGATTGAGAGCTTAATTTTACCTTCTAAAAAGTCATGTGCAATAGAATGTAGGATTAGCTAACTTATTCATTTTTACAGTGGATAACAAACGAATTTCTATGTCACAACAAAGAAAACAGCGAAGCGTGGTTTATTTGAATTCACAGTTGGGGGAAATTTTCCAAAGCGAAAAGTTTATGGCAAAATCTCGATTGCTCGTCCTGCAGGAAACATCCCACTTCAGATTATGGACATCCAATTTATTGAAATTGGAGTAGAATTATATGAAATGTAAGGGAATTAAATGCACTTCTTTTTATTTATGTTAACAATACTTGAATTTATAGTACTACCGCAAGTGTGTGGTATTTTAGGATTCATTCTACAACATACGTGACTGATTTCCTTCCATTTTGTCCACGAAAATATGGGGATCATTTAGGTAGATATATTTATTTCCATTATATCAATATCGCATGGGTGTCATTTTGGACAGCAAATGCTGGGGTTTGCAATAAAATCTGAGGAGTAAGTGACGTTTTCCCAACTGCCTTCTTATCACTGTTTACCACGAATTCCAAGGAGTTTTTTTTTATTTAAATAGGTAATGACGTTTTTTGTGTCGGTTTAAAAGATATACGTAATCTCGAAAAGTTGTTTGCTACCATTTCACGTGCGATAATTAAGCCATAAAAGCGAACGCACAAGTCACCGAGGGGAAAAATTAGATCACGTCACCGATTTTAAGGGTTGTCGCGCTACTTAAAATGTACGCTGTAGAAATCTAAGTTAACGACTAATTACGTCTTAACGAGATTGTTGCTGTAACAAGTCAATGTAATCTAAGCGTCTGCGAGGGTGTTTATTGAAGTAAGTGAAGACCACCCGTTTAACCACAGCTGGAGAACGATGCATGTGCCGGCGTTTAACTCCGGCTCATTGGACCTTGTAATCAGATTGGACCTTGTGCCAAGTCGATCCATCTGGTGTTGATATTCGGTTACCATCTCACCCCATTAACCAAGATTGCTTTATAGGCCGTTTTAGTATCGTCCGGGGTTATAAAATGCGTTGTTAATGGCTTACGGATTTGAAATTTTTTGAGTTTTAATGCCGCATTGTAAATAAAAACGTCGAGAGCTTTCGTCAACAATAGAAACTAAATAGCGTGAAATTCCATTGTAACAGGTTGTAAAATGTAATCCGAAACGATTTTTTAGGGTTTCCATCTAAAATTCTTAACCTCAAATTTTCATGGACGCTTAGCGTCATCGATTAATAATCGCGTAATAAATTAGTTAACGTTTAACGGAGCTCTCGATAATTTATTACAAATTTATAATTTAGAAACCAGTTTCTAATTTAAAAATTTAAATTAAACTTTTATTTTTTCTCCCATCTTGATTAGACGATGTTTGCTTGCCTCCACTGAACCTCGAGGAAAATTAATTTTACATCATACCCTTTTTTCTCAGCGTTTATGTCAACGTACCGGCTTGATTAATTATTTAAAGTACTTTCTTCATTAGTTTGTCTTTGATTAATTACAGCATCAATTATAGTAAAATATTCATTTCCTGACTTATACTCAATTATGTTTTTCCAACCGCTAAATTAGTTAACCTTGCCATTGCACGATGACTTTTGCGGAATGAATCGTGTCGCAATTGCATTTCAAAATGTGATATAATTGTTTAAATTACGTCCGCGCACAAAAAAAAAGCTGTTTGGCCTGAATTGAGCTCGGCGAGTTTTGTACGACAGTTCCTTAATGTAATAAAACAGCATGTCATAAAATATTACCTCTCACTAACCTACTTGCAGCCATTTACATAATTATTACTAATTGTCTTAGATTGATCGCTTCTAAATCCGCATTCCCTGTGTTTTTTCTTTTGGTAACACTTCGGTTATATGAGGTCGATTTGCAATTCGTTTTCCCATTGATCGTATTGTTTTTTAGCCGCTGAGGCCATTATCCTTATAGTGTAAACAATTATTCATTTACGCAAAAGTTTTGGTCAGGTTCGGTTTCTGATTTAATTTAATTAATTTAATTTGACTAACCGTGCAGTATATCGAAAATCGGAGGCATTTTGGCATCCAGTTATTTAACCCTTGCACATTTTTATAATTGCTGAATTTTTCGTTCCATAAGAGAAAGTTTTGCTGAGTACAGTTTATTAGAATTATGTACTTCCAATGATGATTCAACTAAATGCTCATTTACATAATTGACTAATACTTTATAAAATTTATGAAGACCTTGGACTTTTTCTTTGGAGTGAGATTGAATAATAGGGAAGGATATGAATGATCGAAACAAAAATGTTATGTTGGTGTTTAGAATCACATCTCATTATTTTATTCCCTAATTATTCCATAATTTTTGTTCCACAAAGTATCGTTATTACAAAAATATAAATCTTTTTTTTTATTTATGACAGATGGCTTAATCCTGCGTGAATACCTATCGGAAAATTTCCTGGAAAAAGCATTCCATATACAGTCCACATACCACAAATTTTAAAATCTTAGCTTTCATGTTGAAAATTATAAATTACAGATGCAAATTGTTTCCAAAATGTTTCGACGTGACTATGTCCGTTAAAGCTGCCAACTTCAAGTTTAAGATTTGTAATAAAACAATCTGGAAAACAATGTAACAAAGCACTCGTTTTCCGCCTTGGAGACACCAGTTTTAGTGATCACATGAACACCCGGTACCTAGACCGTTTTAAGGGGCGCGTCTTTTTTTATGATACCTTGTCGATACGGCTTTAAATCTTTTACGTTTCTTCGCAAAATTGCGAAATTATAAATGTGAATAAGAGCGCTACATTTGAGACCCCTCACGTTGTAATCGGATGTTGTTTCTGCATCTCATTTAATCAGCTACCGCTAATTACACTTACTTAATTGGCGGGATTGAGACTTTTAAAGGCGGCGAGGTTAATTGTTATTTGGAATTTCAACCTAATAACGGCGTAAACCTGCATGGGCGATATCCAGAAGCGTTTTAAGTTCTAGATACCGAGTGTTCATCTGCAAAGTGATCGCTAAAACTTCAAGGCGGAAAACGAGTGCTTAGTTACATCAGGACGCAACCGAAAAACGATTGCGCAACTCAAAACCAAAAATCACCAAAACTAACTGGAACTCATGGCACATGATCGCCAAGTGACAAACCTGTCTAGTGATGTTGTGTGTTGGAAACAAGTTGCTCATGTCGCTTTCAGGACGTGATCCAGGATGACATTTAGAGGAAAGAAAATGTTAGTGATGGTTGAGTATCGTATTCCAGGAGGTGTGGGGGTTTTGAAAAATAAACCACAAAAACGCTATTTTATGCATTTCCCAATAATTTGGTCACACTTACATACCAAGTTTTGGTTTTAGACCTCAGATGTCCCTTGGCACTTTGTCTTTGACATTTCTGCATGCCTTGACAAACTTGTGGTATCAAACCAGTGACGCTTTTAAGTGGATGTTGTCCATTCCTTCACAAACATGCCTTACCTGTTCGTAAAACTAAAAACCCACTTGCTCTCTAACCTAAATGTCATATGTTAGAACGACAAAGATGTGTAGCCTCATACGCGGTGTCGTCTAGTCCATTTAGAATCCGGACACTTTGTTTAGTCTATAGCAGCGCCTCTAGTGGTCGAATTGGGAATGTTTGACAGGGATTTGTTTTGAAAGTACGGTATGTATGGTGGGGAAGTAGTAGATATACCGCTCCCTATCTCAACCGAAGGAGGTGCAGCGAATTGTATAATCGCTTGAAATTTTCTTTTCGCCCCTGGTCGCTCTAATGATCGGCCAACGTAAACAAAATAATAACAAAAACAATCATCCAAATTCACATCAGTGGTGCCCTCTCTTAATCACACGAGAATAGCTCTAGGGACTTCATTTGTTACAAGGAAGGAAAAAAGAGCTATTGAAAACCTTCCAGGATACGTACTCACTTGCTCACGTCTTTTCCAATTCTCCTTTATAAACTGACGAAAATGAAATTGTATACTAAGATTGATCCCGGCATTCACTCCAAGGGATCACGGTACGAAGATTACACAAATATATTATTTTTGTTTACAGTTAAGAACTCAGGCGCCTGCGTCAGGACATTACCCATCGCACCATAACAACAATATACGGGTATGTTCAGAATTTGTGTTCGTCGTTTGAGATCAGGCACCCACCTTTGGCTAGAACCTATTGTATTATAGAGTTAGGGGTTTCGAGATCCATCCCATAACAGTTTCCATATAACATAAAAATTCAAATATTCAGGAGTTATGCAAAATAATCACATAAAATCTCTCAAACACCCTGTATATTAATCTCAAATGAAAGTCGCCCACACCTATGTAATACTCCCCTAAATACCTACTTATCAAAAACTGTAATATGTCCCAACTTGTATTAACACCCTGTACCTACTAATCTTCAACCTTCCCCTAACAAATAATCATTCTAATCCCTGAAGGATAAATCATTAATGAAACTAAAGGAATTTTCTTAAACTCTCAATTCCTTGAAACGTACATGAGAAAACTACGTATGAGACATCCCTAACAAAAAAGCCAAGCTACCTACGCAACAAAACCCACTGAAATATCTGGACGAGAACGAGAACTCTAGAAATTAAATCACTTATGTATCTTCAGCTTCTGTATCTTCCACTCCTAGCCCAACACAAATACTTTCGGCAAAACAGTT